GAATGGTTAGATATTTCTCTAACGGTAATAAATGTAACGAAACAGCGAATGATTAAATGTTGTCTAACGGTAAGTAAAGCAACAAGACGCCGAATGGTTAAATGTTTGTCTAACGATAATAAAAATAACACGACACCGAATGGTTAAATATTTGTCTAACGGTAATTAAAGCAACAAGACGCCGAATGGTTAAATATTTGTCTGACGGTAATTAAAGCAACAAGACGCCGAATGGATAAATGTTTGTCTAACGGTAAAATGTCGACAAGACGCAAAATGTATGAATGTCTCTCAGGCTGTAATTTGGTTGACAGGACAGAAAATTATTTTACATGACGCAAAATACTTTAATATATTTTGAGTTTCAATTTGTTAGGCAATGTGGAGAATGTCTCTCAGACTTTGATAATATTGAAAAGATTCAGAAGACTTTAATACCTGTCGGGCGGTGATTCGGTTGACATTTCTCAAAATTCCTTTTATTTAAATTTGGCGCAAATTTATTTGATAGTACTCATAAAATAAATCAGGCAGTAATTAGGCAGACATGACCCTGAATGTTTCTAAATATATCGGGCGGTAATACAGTCGAGAAGTAAGCTTCTGTAATTTTTTGTAAAATTGATAGACAAGTTAAAAAATGCTTACAAAATTGTCGATAGATTTTTAAGTAGGAAAGACTCAGATGGCTTAAAATCTCTCTGACTGTAACGAAGAGACGCGAAGGAAAAGGGTTAAAAATTGTTCTGCGGTAATTGGACAAAGAAAGAGGACTCAGATAGATATAAATGTATTTCTATATAATATAATGGTGTAAGACAATGGTGCATGACAAAGCCCAGGATGCACTGGTTAACACGACTCAGAATGTAAAAATGTCTTTGGGGTGGTGAAATAGACAGGCACGACAGAGAATGGTTAAAATGTGTCAGGCGGTAATTACGTCGACTGGATTCCAGATTTTAAAAATATCTTTCTGTTAAGTAGGCACCAAATAATTAAACACAGGACAGAATTTTTTAAAAATCTATCGTGAGCGATAATTAGGGTAAGTGGACACCGACTGGATAATGAAGTAAACAGCATGTTTGTAAAATTTCGGTTATTTAGACACAGGTTTGGTTTATTTAGTTTTATGTCACATCAACACCTCAATGGGTTATTTAATGCTGACACCATTTTAGAATAGGTTCGTGTGAATAGAATATGTATTCTTTGTAAAAATCAGTTTCTAGAACAGGTTTCATTGACATATTTTTGTAAAGATGTTTTGTTTTTTTTGTCGAGAGTCAAATATAATATATTTTTTGGAAAATGTATTGCTGGTATTTTTATTATAAACATCTATGTTTATACTTTCATAGCATTTTGACCGCATTTAGGGTGTTAACTATTTGCCTGTAGTTGGAACTCTAGCATGTGCTCCCCCTCCGGATCATGAAACAACAGCAATTAACTGGTGGTTCTACTCTCCTCAAAACCTCCCGATCAGAGTCCTTGTATTTTATTGTCATACCAATGACGACAGAAAGTTTGAAATGTATTTCAGGATATAATAGTGTAAGGTAAAGTACAGTATTCATTAATATTCATTAATAAAGTACAGTATTCATTAGTATTCATTAATAAAGTACAGTATTCATTAATATTCATTAATAAAGTACAGTATTCATTAGTATTCATTAATAAAGTACAGTATTCATTAATATTCATTAATAAAGTACAGTATTCATTAGTATTCATTAATAAAGTACAGTATTCATTAATATTCATTAATAAAGTACAGTATTCATTAGTATTCATTAATAAAGTACAGTATTCATTAATATTCATTAATAAAGTACAGTATTCATTAATATTCATTAATAAAGTACAGTATTCATTATTATTCATTAATAAAGTACAGTATTCATTAATATTCCTTAATAAAGTACAGTATTCATTAATATTCCTTAATAAAGTACAGTATTCATTAATATCTAATGAGGCAGACTTGAACCAGAATGCAAAAATTTCCTTGGAGTAGTAAAATAGACAGACATGACAGAGAATTGTTAAAATGTTTCGGGCGGTAATTAGCTTGACTGGAATTCAGATTTAAAAAAAAAAATATTTATCTATCCGTTAAGGAGACACCAAATTTTAAAACACTGAAAAGAATGAAATCTGTCGCGGGCGATAAATAGGGAGAGAGGACTTTGATAATGAGATAGACAGGCATTGAGGCAGAGGTTAGAATGTTAAAATGTCGGGCGGTAATTTGGTGGAAAAGATTAAGCTCAGGCTTTTATTAGTCACACAAAAGTGACTGCTTAAAATGTTTGTCAGGCGTTAATGAAGTACAAAAGATTCCTAACTTCTCGGGTATGCGAACAATTGTCTTCGTCTTTGTATTATCACTTCTGCCGTTGTACTCCCCAGCCTTCAGCAGGTGATGATAGCCGTAGATCCAAAAATGATTCAGCATGCTTAAAAGTCAGTTGGGCGTTAATTAAGTAGATATGACAGCTAATAATTAAAATGTCTATTAGGGTAGGGTAATTAAGTCGACAAGCTAAAAACTTATGTACAGTAACTGCTGAGATTGTTTAAAATATATCAAACGAGATTTAGGTCGAAAGGAGACAATTCTTAAAATATCTGTCGGGTGGTAATCAAATAGACACGATTCAAAATGGCTAACATGAATATAGTGTGCAAAGTAAGTCGTTTGAATGCTTCAAACAATTTCGACCGGTAAGTAGGAAGGGAAAACTCGATGTGAATGTAGCTATGCTGGTAGACAGACAAAATAATTCTAAGAAAATGTAGTTCGTCAGTTTGAGAGACAGAACTCAGTATACTTATAATTTAGCGGACGGTAATTTGGCCGACAGTCGTGTGAATGCTTGCAAATTGTCGAGTGGCGAGTAGGAAGACCAGACAAGAGAAGGCGTAAAATGTCTGTCAGGCCTTAATTAGATGGAAATGATTAAGCATATTTAAAAATCTGTCAGACATTGATTAGGTAGACATGAAGAATCCGAATTGTTAAAATATCTGCCGGACAGTAAGGGTCAGAAGGTTAAAACATTTGGACGGTAATTGAGCAATACAGGGAGCGATGGATAAATTGTCGTCTAAATTACTCAAAATTGAAAATAATACTGACATTACATTTCAAGAGATATATTTGCCAAAATTGCACAAACATATGTTGAAATACGAAATAGTAAATTTATTAAATAAAATCAACATTGGCATCAACCACAGCCTCCAGACGACCTCGGAATCTCCTGCAACTCTTCTGGACGGTCTTCTTGTTTAAGTTGGTGAATGCTGCCATATCCCTTGCCTTCAGTTCATCTTTGTTGTTACAAGGATTTTTGTTGGTTTCTCGCTCAATTGTGCCCCAAACATAATAATCAAAGGGGTTGCAATCTAGAGAGTTAAATGGCAATATGTAAGGGGTGATGCGGTTGCAGATATTATCTGACAGCCATGACTGGGTTTTCCTGCCTGTGTGGCATAGTACAGTGTCTTGTTGCCAGACATAGGGTCTTCAAGCAGCCACCCTCTTGATCCAGGGCAGCACTACCTCCTCAAGGCACTTGGTGTAGGCCTCCGTGTTGAGTATGAGACTTTGTTCGAAGATGAATGAAGGCATAACATCGCCATCATTAGTGATCATTCCAAACACCATGATATTGACTGCTGATATATCATCCAACTCTTTCTAGAATTCTCTGCACTGTCCTCAGATTGACACCCAAACACTCTGAAATGTTCATATTGGAGATTCCAACGCAAATGCTAAGCAGAACAGCATGCAGATTCCAAATTTATAGCGGAGTGAATCGCGTCATGGGGCTCTTTTTCACAACGGAATCTACTATGCTGTTCAGTCGACGAAATAAAACAAACAACACGCATGCGCGAGATTGAAAATATAAAATGGCGATAATTTACACATCACACCCTGTATGTACTAAAGTTACTTAAAAGAAACGGGCAAAAATTTAGGTCGACACGTGATTCTTAAAATCTATGTCAAGCGGTGTTTAGGCTGACACAATTTTCATGCTATGTCTTAATTACACAGAAAAGAATCCGAATGTTGAAACAATATCGAAATATAAGTAGGTCTCTTGCATTATTTACATTATTCAGTCTGTTATCCTCATCTTCATTGTCATATTCACAACGTTTCAGCCGTCGTACGTCCTGGCCTTATTCAGGCGATTGAAATTTCGATCTGAACCCTTTATTTCGTCCACCGAGTTAGATTGTTCTAGTTCCACATGCCATGCCTCTTCCTGATGTCTCAGTTATTTCCCTTTAACTCAATTCTCCAAGTTTTGGTTCACAACTGCTGTAGCCTGGTATTGAACTCTTTGGGTCGAGTCAGTTGATCTTTATCTATTGGGCCGTGTGTCTTTCTGGAAATCGGCGTATGAATTCTGGGGACTTATTGTCTCAGTGATCATATTTTTGTTATTGTTATGCATTTCTTACCTGAGTTTATATTGCAATTTTTGTTGTTATTCATTGCTTTTCTATTGCACTCCTTATTACTGGATCCCATATCGTATTCGTTTATATGCTTGGACGGCTCAGGAGATATTTGTGGCCTAGCATATGTGCTGATTCCTTAAACTTTCGGATTTTCCAGTGATGCTCTCTGTCTGTTATTTCAACTTAATCCAACAGGGGGGTAGTGATTTCCCTTTTGTCCCGCCATATGTGGTCAGCTATGCCTGATTTTTCTATTTCCTCTCGTGTTACCACTTTACGATATTCTTTTAGTATTACCTTAAGGGGGAGGCGGCCTATTTCTTTCCACAGCTGCACGGAATTGCGTACACGCAGTCTTTAGTCATATTCTGCTCTTATTCGGAAATCTGTCTGGGAATTGTTGAACTACTTTTGAAGGTTGTCCTGATGTTATATGGACTACAGATCCTTTATATTTTCTCTGATAATCCCTTCATATAGAGTAGGCAAACTAAAGCACATCCAAGCTTACAACTCCTAGCATTCCCAGGCGGTTACCCATCTATGTACTGACCAGGCTCGACGTTGCTTAACTTCGCTGATCGTACGGGAATCGGTTTCAACGTGATGTGGTCGCAAGACTAAATATTTTGTGAACTGGTAAATAGCGATTTTTCCGAAACGGCAATGTTGGTTTTTCAACTTCTGATACTGAACATTGACTCTCCATAAAAAAAAAACGCTCAGTGTGTGTATATGTGTGGGGTTTTCGTTCGCGCGCGTGTGTAAATGAGACTGAGAGAGAAGAGCCCATTTATTTCAAGTTGCAGTCGCTCTTTGAAGAAACTTACGGCGAACGATCAAAGAGGTGCCAACGAATTCATTCATCTCTTTCATTTCAGCTTCTTTTTTTATTGAAGTTTCTTTTATGTCGGGCTCTTTTCTTTACTGTCTTTTCTTTCTTTTAGCGTCCCTTTCATTCATTTTTGGCCTCTTACTTTTTCCTACAATTTGCATTCATTCTCTTTTCTTCCTTTCTTATCATTTTCCTGTTTCTTCGAATCTTCCTTTATTTCGCTTTCCTTTTTCTTTCTTTCCCGCGTTACGTTTTAATTTTCTCTCTCTTCTCTCTTTCTTTCTCTTTTTTATTGTAAAGTTAACTTTGCTTTCTGTCTTTCTCCTTATCATCGATTTCTCTATCAGGAATTTTTCGTTCTTTTCTTTATTTCAACTTCAAGATTCTTTTTTCCTTTATTTTCCAATTCTCTTCTCAAGTTACATCTACTTATCACGCCTTCCTTCTTTTTTTTTAACAATATTTTAAGCACGTGTCTTTATTTCTTAGTTTAGCTTTTTCTCAACTCTATTTCCTCATCCACTCCTCCTCCTGTAGACACCTCTTCGTTTTAATAATAATAATAATAATAATAATAATAAAGATCCTTGAATTACAATAATAACAATTTGTTTGGGAGGAAAGTTGTGATTTCCAAATTAATTTAAATCTTCGGCAAACCGCAAGATCTTTCTTTCGTATCAAATATGGACGACACTCTATGGAACAATTGCAAATGTAAATTAGTTGGCTCACCATTATTACTGTAATTAATTTAAGTATCAGTGAGAGCCCCATAGTTATGGCCTTGTACCAGACAGTTTTCATTAATAATGAACTACTTAATATTATAATATATAATATAATGTTAGTAATTATAATTATGTAATTATAATAAAGCACATCGAAATTTACAAAACCTTCGGTCACTTTGAAAGATTCTTCTTTTTCTTCGTCTTCATTTTCCTGTTGAGTTTTTCTTCTTCTTCTTCTTCTCCTTCTTCTTCTGCGTCGTCGTCTTCTTCTTTTTCTTCTTCTCTGTCTTCTTTTTTCCTCTTCCTCGTCGTCGTCGTTTTCTTCGTTTTCTTCTTAGTCTTTTTTCTTCCTCGTCGTCGCCATCTGTTTCTTCTTCTTCTTCTTCTTCTTCTTCTTCTTCTTCTTCTTCTTCTTCTTCTTTTGTCTTCGATTTGTTGTTGTTGTTCTTCTTATTATTATTATTCTTCGTCGTCGTCTTCTTCTTTGTCTTCTTGTTTGTTTTCTTTTTTCTTCTTCCTCGTCGTCATCGTCTTCGTCTTCGTTTTCTTCTTCTTTGTCTGTTTTCTTCTTCTTCTTCGTCGTCTGTTCCTTCTTATTTGTCTTCTTCTTCTTCTTCTTCTTCTTCTTCTTCTTCTTCTTTCCAACGTGCTTCTTTCTTTTCACTGCCTTCAAATAAACATATTTGTCCTCAACTACTCTCAGTGGTTAATTCACATTCAACATCTCCACTATCCTTTTCTCTCTATTCATCTTTTCCTCTTCTTCTCCTTCTCCATCTTCCTCCTCCTCCTTCCTCCTCCTCGTCTCCTTCTTCCTCCTCCTCCTCTCCTTCTTCATCTATCTCCTCCTCCTCTCCTTTTTCGTCTTCCTCCTCCTCCTTTTTCTCCTTTCTTCTCCTTTTTCGTCTTCCTCCTCCTCCTCTTCTCCTTTTTCGTCTTCCTCCTCCTCCTCCTCTCCTTTTACGTCTTCCTCCTCCGTTTGTCTATCTTTTTTTTCCCCTGCTTCTCCAAATATTCTCCATTTACAGTATCCATTCTATCACTCCATAAAATATAATATCCCCTGCCATGTTCCGTTCACCGTTCTTTGTCTAATTTAACGAACAACCCCCACCCGCAACTGATCAAGTCTTTCCCCACCGGTACTGCACTGGATATTCCTGTTTGAGTAAATGTTCTTTCTGAAGTTAATCTAATCAGAGTCACCCTGAGATTTTCTTTTCAACTTCCGCTATGAATTTTATATATCTGTCTTATATATATATATATATATATATATATTTTTTTTTTTTTTTTTTTTTATTTCTTCCTTTAAATTCTCATCGAGGGTCATGGAGGAGATCTTAACATCAGGAACATCACGGACTATTTCTTCGGATGAAATACAGAATTAGGTTTGTTTTGGATTCGTTTTATGTAAGAACATGCAGACGCAGAGATCGGAAAATGTAACATCATTGAAGTGGAGAGGGGGGGGCTTAAAACACTTCCATCTTTACATACACGTACATATATTGCCTTTTCAGCCAGTATGGATAGAAGAATATTTGTTTTTATGTTTTTATCTTTTACTTTCACACACAAAACAAATTGATATACACATATACACACACATATTGTACATATTCTAAGCTAAGTTCTAATATTTCATTTCGTGTTCGACCCTAACGCTCAGCAGAGATTAAGAGATATGAACAGACTAAAATATCTTGATAGATAGATAGATTGATATGAACAGACTATCTACCCCTCTATCTCAGTCTGTTCTATCTATCTATCTATCTATCTATCTATGGTTTTGGTTATAA